TCTCTTAGCTACTTCCTGCTGAAAAGGGACACTGTAGGTTTCAGGGTGCTGCATAGTATTTCATTGTGTGAATATACCAGAACTTCCCTATCCATTTGTTTGTTGCTGGGCACTTGGGTTGTTTCCAGCTCTTTGCCATTGTGAACAAAGCTGAAATAAACATGGATGAGCATATTTCTGCTTGGGTGGCAGTTATGGTTTCTTTAAGGTAAATTCCCAGTAGTGGAATTGCTGGGTCAAATAATATTTCTATTTCCAACTTTTTGAGAAAGCGCCACACCACCTTCCACAGTGGTTGCACCATTTTACACTCCCACTGACAGTGAATAAGAGTTCCAGTTTCTCCACAACCTCATCAGCATTTGATGTTTGCTGTCCTGTGAAATTTTGCTGTTCTTACTGGGGTGAGATGATATCTCATAGTTGTTTTGGGGGTTAACCAGTTTTACTTAAGACTTCTACAAATATCTTCTCAGATTCCCCTAACAAATATCTGTTATACAGATTGGAGAAATGTGACATCACGGAGGAAGCTTGTGGGGAAATCGCCTCTGTCCTCCTCTGCAATCCAAAGCTGAAGTATCTCTCCTTCACAGAAAATATCCTGCATGATAAAGGCGTCCTGGCGCTGAGTGACGCCCTAAAGCATCACAGCTGCGCCCTGGAAACACTGGTGTAAGTCTACAGGTACACGGCTTGGGCTTATGTGGTGGACAGGGAAGGCTACGCTAGCAAAGCCTATCATCATTGCAAGTTGCACCCTTCCCTGGGCCAATGAGGTTTGAAGGAGTTAAAACCTTCACAACCTAATCAAGCATTAGTAGCCAAACAATCGGGACTACCACCGAACCACATCCTAACCAGTATTCAGTACAAGCAAAATGCTCACCAGAGGGGGCACAGTTGGATGTGAAGTTCTGAGGCAGCCATGGCGAGTGGGTGGCATGGGACAGCAAGCCGTCTCGTCCTTCTGACTCCTCACATTGGGAGAGTTCCATTTAAAGGCCGTTCGCCAGAGTCTCTCTGTGCAGGGGGTAACCAATCAGAGCCTGTCAGTGTTTACTGGTGTGAACACCTTCCATGTAGAACCAGTCAGTATTGAGGCTTTTCATCTTGACATAAACACACTCTGCCAGACAAGTTCTCCCTGTGGGGTGCAACCAATCAGAACTTCTGACTGGCACATTATGGCTTCTGGGCCTGATATAGCATCTTCTGCCTAAGACAGTGAGTGTTTTGAGTCTTTTCTAGTAAATAG